TTGCCCCCATGAGCCAGCTATTTGTAAAAGGGACGTCTATCTCTGCTATAACTCTACTAGAGTAATCAGTGTAGTGACTATTCCTTTTCAAACATTCTCGCAAAGATTTAAAATTGACCCGGGAGATTGGCGAGGTTATGATTTCTACCTATATCCCCGTGTAGTTCAAAGAACTCAAAAGAGTTGGGGAGACGTTTTCAGAACCACTGGACAGTGGAAAAAAGGATCGTATGGATGGACATCTTTAGCTAAGAAATGGATGAGTAGAATATCAGGGTTCACTGTTAACCATGCCTCCAAAGTTTTCACTATGACAATAAACTCCACAGCAGAACCCCTTGAGAAGGAAGGCTGTTCTTCCTCATTTATATGTGCATGGTCTAGTGAAACCGATCCGTGTTGGACATTGTATCTGTGCTCTGCAAATGTTACACAAGAAGAAAATGAGATACAAGGGATTCTTACTTCTGCCCAAGGTGAACAGATAAAAATTCAAAATATTAATGACCCGCTTAAAACGGATGAACTGTTTCAAGTCACCACTGGAATCTCTGGGCAAACAAATAACTGGCTTTTAATGGCAGAACAAGCAGCTAAAACAGTGTCTAATGATTGTCTTGTGTGTATGGGAGCCAGACCGCTGTTACGTGTGGTTCCTGCCACCATAACTCCTCAATGTCTTCTAAATATAATGAATTATACAGTTCCAACTGATAATTGCACCTATTGGGATAAGATCTATCCCCTGACCACAGATGAGAAGAAAAAACCAATCTTTTTGAAGAAAGTGGCTGTGGCAAATTTCACCTGTGTAAACAGGACCGGAGTGGGCCCAAAATTGGGTACACTAAATGAAAAACAATGTGCAAGCATTTTACTGGTATCCACCTTTTTTAAACCTCAATCCCGCAGTGACATCTGGTGGTGGTGTGGAGATGACAAATTGTTTGACAGACTTCCATGCAACACCACTGGATTGTGTGCTGCAGTCACCTTGATTTTACCTGTTTCTATTACTTCACTCACAATGGATGAATTGTTAACGACTGTAAACAGTATTTTACCTCACACATGGCATACTAGAAGAAGGAGGGCATCTGAAAATGCGTGGAGTCCAGATGACCCTACTTATATTGACAGTATTGGAGTACCCAGAGGTGTTCCAGATGAGTATAAACTAGTGAATCAAGTTTCTGCAGGATTTGAATCTTTCTTATGCTGGTGGTGTACTATAAATAAAAATGTAGACAGGATCAACTACATCCATTATAACGTCCAGAGGCTGGGAAATAAAACAGAACAAGGCTTCTCCGCCGTCCATGAACAATTGTCAGCTACCTCTCTGATGGCTTTCCAGAACCGTATTGCTGTTGACATGTTGTTAGCTGAAAAAGGTGGTGTGTGCTCTATTTTTGGAGATCAGTGTTGCACCTTTATTCCCAACAACACTGCTGCAGATGGCAGCCTCACAAAGGCCCTTGAAGGCCTTCGCTCTCTTAACAGCAAAATGAAAGACCATTCTGGAGTTGACACAAAAATGTGGGATGGATCTGGAGACATTTTTGGTAAATACAAACAACTGGTACTTTCTATTTTGATGTCTGTAGCTATATTTGCCGCCATCCTGACCTTATGTGGATGTTGTTGTATTCCATGTATTAGAGCGCTGCTAAATAGACTAATTACCACTGCAATACAACCCATGAAAACAGAAATGTATGCCCTTATGTCCACTGAGGAACACCTATCGGATGATGAAGACAGCGAAGAGGATGAATTCTCTTTACACTTTCCTGACTTTTATCCTAATCCCAACGACAATAACCCACCAGTTTAAAGTACCTCTGAGTGTACCCTTTACAGCTAAAAAAAGAAAAAAGAATGATTTCTTAGTTGAAAATCTGAAAAGAAGTAACTATTGAATGATAAAAATAAATAGCTTAAAGTGAATAAACAGGAGGGAAATGTTGGGTTAATTAATTGTACATAAGTTATTCTACTTTAATCATATTATACTTACACACTTTGTTATCTCTATCTTACTCATATTACAAAGAGTGTTAAAACATTTAGTTTTGTTTGCTGTGTCATTAATGTTTTTTAAGTCTGTGCAGGAGGGATGTTGACTGCGACTGCTGTTAACAGATGTCGTTAAGGGTGTGGAGGAGAATGGAAAACTGTGCAACTAGATAAGGAGAGGGGTTCTCCTTATCCTCTGATGTTGTATGATGTTGTACGAAAATTCTGGTTTCAACTGGGTTCTGTTCCCTCCCCCTTTAGCGGTTGAAACCACATTGTAATCAGGGCGTTTCTTCAATAAAGGGCTTGGAGAGCAGATACTGCTTCAGAGTGGGTTTGAAGTTGTAACTGAATGCAGTTTCTGATCCCCTCTCCTTGCAAGTAAAATATACTAAATTCTCTGTGTCATTCTTTGTGCAGGTTGCTGAATAAGGTGTTTGATTTTATTTTTAATAAGATCAATCTTATTTATAAAGAATCCCATAAAATCATTACTGCTAAGAGCAGGTGGAATGGATGGTTCAACTATGCTATGGCTCTAGGTGAGTTGGCAATTGTATTGTAAAGATACCTAGGATTATTCTTATTCTCCTCTATGGAATACCCTTTGCTTTACAAAGGGTATTCTTACATAGCAGTAAACAGTTTTTTTGCCAGACTAGGTAGGATTCCTGTAGGCCTGTATGGTGATATTTTCTCCAGTTTCCTAGCATTTTGCTTCAAAGTCTGGAGCTCTGAATTCAATCAAGGAGCCAGCTTTCTATTTTTAACAGTTTTCATTTTCAAAGGGACTGCATTGTCTAAGGCAGTACGCAGAGAAATAGGAACCCCATCAACAAAATCCTCAACCTGTGAAGGGGAATAAACTAAGCTTTTGCACTCTGCTGCACTGCTCAGCGGCACAGAGGAGAGAGAAAGTGAAGCAGATTCTTTAAAATGTATAACTGCACTATCTGATAACGATCTGCTAAAGGTAAACCTTGATTTGGGGGAGGTGAATTCTGATAAAGTAATCCTGAAGGTTATTAAAAATTGGTCAGAGGGTTGTGAGGAAATGCTGTTATTTCTTCACATTATATGCCGTATGTCAGCACAAGATCCAAAATATGAAGATGAGAATGTGTGGGACTATTCACAGTTTGAACAAAGCCAATAGCGTCTAAGATAGCATTAAACGCTGCTCTTAAGCTATCACCTTCTATCACCTTCAATGTCAGCATGGATGTTAAAATCCCACACTATGATGAACCTGTCAGTATTTAATACCAAATCAGAAAAGACCTGTGGTAGACGGTACAAAGTTAAGAGGTTTTCTTGCTTTGCAATTTGGATGAGTGAAATTAAGTTAAGGGATAAATGTTTAAAAGAGTTGTAAATATTAACTGCCTTTGGAGTAATCATTAAGTCAGACTGAAAGATCGTTGCTACACCTCCTCCTCGCTCAGAACTTCTGGTAATGTGAAAATTTAATAGCTTGAAGGAGTTACCTCATTTATGCACACATAATTGTCTTGCTGCAGCCAAGTTTCTGTAAGGCAACATAAATCAATGTGATTATCACAAATCAAGTCATTAACTAGCAGGCTATTAGAAGAAAGAGATCTTATGTTAAATAAGCCACATTTAATCATTTCAACTTTTTTCCACAATTGGAGTTATTTTAATTTTAATTAGATAAACATTTTTACATACATATTTACTTTTTTGGGAATCTTTGTTAATTCGTTAGATTTTGGTCGTGGGCAAGACACTGTCTGGATGGAGTAAAGAGTGGGTAACAGTAGAGAAGCTGCAGAGACGTGTGTTAAAATACGACTCTGCTTCGGCGTAACCGGGTGTCATTACCGCCAGCGTGAATAACAATCTTACTATATTTAACCTTATCCTTAGCCAGCAGTTTCAGGTAGGGTTTGATGTCGCCCCTTCTGGCCCCCGGCAAACATTTGACTATGGTCCCTGGTGTCTCTAATGCCACGTTTCTGACTATGGAGCTGCCAATTACCAGAGTGGGCTTCTCAGTGGGTGTGTCACTGAGTGGGGAAAATCGGTTAGAAACGTGAACAAGTTGGTGGTGACCAGTGGGCAGAGATCCACGACTATGCTTTCTGCGTACAGTTACCCAATCACCTGGCTGCTCAGGCACATATGGAGGACAGCTACGTGGGGGGACTACTTTAACTCCTGGATTTTCAACAGCTTGAAGCCTGGATTCTAACTCTGACTCCCTGGCCTCCAAAGCTACAGAAATACTACATTTATTACACATCCCATTATCACTAAAGCAGGCAGAGGAATAACTTAACATCTGACACAGAAAGTAGGAGAGAGGAGAGGAAGAAGGAAGAGTTGGAAAAGAGTCGAGGGAGGGAGAAAGAGAAGCCATAGCGAGGGTAAGCTAGTGCTAGCCTAGGTTAGCTACTCCCTACTACCAGAAATAAAACCATGTGAAAGCAACAAGTGCTAAGTAGAAAAGTACATCAGAAGGCACTATGTCTTAAAGTAGTTCTGTTCAGTTAGAGTTAGTTAAATATAGAGATATAACAGAAAAAATAACTTAATTCAGATGGAGATAGTCTGGACAGCAACAACACTGCTCAACAGTCCAAGCAGGAAGTGAACACGATACATCTCACCAACAGGCGCAGTAGCACCCTCTAGTAAGTTCTATCTTACAGTCACTATTTAATGGAATATTGGCAGCGTTTTGGTATAAAACAGAGTTCGCAGTAGGAAACTGTCTGTTCTCCTCCACGCTTCATCCCCATAATAGGATAAGCGAGAAAGTGAGTGTGATAGATCCTCCTGTTGTTCATGCCCACACCCACAAATAAAAAACTTCCTAGCAGACATGACGCTGAATGTGCTGTGACCGCAAACCTTCACTCTTTCTCTTTCTTTTTTCTTTTTATTTATTTATTTTTTGATGGTGGGCAGCAAACAGCAGATAAATTAATATCCCGATCAAAGGCACATCACTGCACCTGAGGGGAGCAGCTTTAACTGCTGTTGTCATGAAGTGGGTCGGATCATTCTGTCATGAAGTGGGTCAGTAGGAAAGTTCAAAAAATGTATTGAAATAAAAACAGAGACAGAACAGAAGCCCGCTGCTGTGGATCCGCAGCTCGCTGGGGCTGCAGGAGGGGGACGGGGCACTGCCCAATCACTGACACTCTCTGGAGGAAAGAAACACAGGTAAGTGAGATTATCATCTGACAGAAGATGATAATATCAGTGAGTCACTTACCTGGTTTCACAGGTCAGTCCATCTCCCTAGAAAGGGGTGCAATCCAGCCGATGGGCTGAAAACCAGACGTGTGGCATGTGTCGCCCAAAGTGTCTCTGATGTTGCAGCCCTGGAGAAGTTCCAGAAAGCCGATACAGGTCAGGGGACAACAGAGCAGGCAGAAACAGTTCAGGAATCCAAAAAACCTCCCCTCTATCAGTTTTCCACCAAAACAGGAACAGCACGATCCAGACTTCCAGGAATCCACAGAGCTTTCAGGCAGGTTCAGAGTCCAGAGACTGGTGCAGAAGTGTGCCCCCGCAGACACCAACAGAAGCAGACAGGCAGGTTCAGATACACATGGCAGGCTCAGTGGTAGAGGGAAGCAGACAGAGATTAGATGTGGATCCAGGATTTCAGCTGGACTTTAAACTGGGCTCCTCCTAGTAGCCAGGCCAACGAGATTAAAACTGACCTTTCCGCGTTCCGAGCCAAAACCCTGAGGATCAGGACACTATCAGAGGAAAAGAAACGCTAAACAAACACTGAAACCTCTCACTCCGCTGGCTGCCAGGAACTAGGACATGAAGCATAATTAACAAAACAGACAAATTAACGGGCCTAAACAAACAAACAGACATCAAACAAACATCAAACAATGATCGGGTCAGAATAGCTGGAACTGAGCCGAATATAAGGGAAACAGGCAGGTGGATGAGATGAATCGTAATTAGGAGCTGGACAGAGTTAAGCAGATGAAAGGCATGAGTAATTTAGGTGAGATATGAGGGCAGATCTTGACAGCCATGTGTAATGCATAAGTTATGCTGTTGTTGGACATAAGTTCTGGACGCGTTATGAATAAGCTATGTATACCCCAAAGTTGAAAAAATACATAGAATGTTTAGCATATGCCAGCTTTTTAGGAGATTTTGAGATGTCAGGCATATGGTGTCTAATTTGATTTATACTGTACTTTTGATCAAAAATACCTCAAAGTACTACAAAAAAGAAAAGCATTAGGAAAGAAATACATACAAATGTAAAAATTTAAAATAATAATGACAAATAATAATAATAATAAAAGCCGTTTTAAAAAGAGAGAAAAAAAAATTAAAGGGAACCAAAAGTTTTGCTAAAAATAAATGTTTTAAGGCCTTTTTTAATACACTCAGTGGATTGAGGTGCCCTCAAGGTGTCAGGGAGGGCATTCCACAGATGTGGGGCAGCAGCACAAGATGCTCTGTCTCCCATTGTCCTGAGTCTGGTTCTGGGAATGTGGAGCAGGTTCGAATGAGTGGAGCAAAGGGAGCAGGTTGTGTTTTGTGGATTGATACGTTCTTTAAGCTAGGGGGGGCATGTCCATGGATGCATTAATGTGCGAGGAGGGAAACCTTGTATTCAATCCTGGTGAAGATGGGAAGCCAGTGTAGTGAATGGAGAATGGGGGTAATGTGCTCATGTTTCCGTACTCTCATCAGGATCCCAGCTGCAGAGTTTTGAATGTACTGAAGCCTCTGCAGACTCTTTTTAGGGATCCCAATGAGAAGTGCGATGCAATAGTCTCACTGGGGTTCAAGGAGACAAAAGCAGACATAGAAAAAAAAGAAGAGATACAAAAGGCAAGTGTCAACCAACTTCACAGGTGGCCCTGTCCAGCACTACACTAAAAAACAAGCCAAGCTCCAACTTCTATAAACAAAGATGTTGATGGCAGCAGCACAGCTTATATTTATCTTCAGGATGGAGTCACAACCAAACAGGACCAGACCAGATGAAGCTACTATGAGAAAAATCAGAGAGAGCATAGTGTTAGAGATTGAACAAACAAATACTGCAGAATGGCAGAATACAGATAGAATGAAGCAGAATTATATAAAAAGAAGAATTACTGATTGAATATTGTAGAGGACAAAAAGTATCTGTTTGTGATTTGCAGATTAATTTTATGTTAATCAAAATAAAAAAGGAAAGGCGCACAAGTTCGATCGACACCACATTTCCCCCTTTTTACTGAAAACTTCACATTTAGCAATTAATTGCTTGCAATACACTTCACCGAAGTTGGCTTTGATGCCTACTCACCTCAAATGTGGATCAGGGCACATAGGAGGCGGGGCCAAAGTCCACTCTGGAGAATTGGGACACTCTACACTCTCAATCCCTCTGCAGGAACTTGCAATTGAGGTACAAAAGGATAGTATTACGAGTATCGGGACTGGGCCTGGGTTTCTATTGTAGGTCTACTTCTGTCTCTTTAAGAACTTGAAACGATCTGGGGGAAATAGTAGACACTTTGCAAAAATAAAAAGTAACCATATTTAATAAGTCTGTAGTTGCATATATTTATTTATTTATTTTTTTATTTATGTGTTTATTTGAACAGGGACAGTGCACATTAATAAACATTTCTGTAAATGAGCCAGTGTTAGCTAAGTAGCTAATTTTCAACTGTAGTCCCTGGGCAAGGTTTTAAAATGCCAACATAATAAAAACAACAACATTAAAAATTAGTGCAAACAATAAAAATTAGTGCAAACAATAAAATACATAGTTAGTAATCTACATAAAAGTTGGACATTGATCTGTAAAAAACAAAGACGTTATTATAAATATAAGATTTAAAAAGCATTGATAAAAGTGCATCAGACAGGCAGACAGAAGTTATTGATTATGATAACAGGTTTGATTCTCCTGTAACCATGCTTTTAACATGTTTTTGAAAGTTCTGTATGTGTCTGCATTGCGTATATGAGTTGGAATGGTGTTCCAGGACTGAGCTGCTCGCACTGAGAAGGCTGACTGACCAAATGAGCTTTTTCTCAGTGGGACTGTAAGGTTATTTGAAGAGACAGATCTGGTGAGTCTGCTACCTTGTGTGAAAAAAGCAGTAAGTGGTGGTGGACCAAAGCCATGTAAAATTTTAAAGACCAGATTTGCATCATGAAATGCAACTAAATTTTCCCAGTTTAACAGGACATGTTTGTCCAGTATACTGCAATGATGAAAACGAAAAGGTTTCCTGTCCAAAACCTTTAGAGCCTGTTTGTAGACAGACTGGATTGGTTTAATGTTGTTTTACAGCCCTGTGACCAGCTGCTAAGACAGTATGTTAAATGAGGCATAATCATTGCGTTAAAAAACAATTTTGCTGCATCTGTGTTCAGATTATTTCTTATGTATCTGAAGTTTACAAGGTTGAGTTTGACTGTTTGAGTGACTTTCTTTACATGTTTTTTAAATGTGAAACTTGAATCCAGAATGAGTCCAAGATATTTATACTCTGACACTACTGTGATGGACTGGCCCGCAACAAACACATCTGGGTCTGAGCAGTTTGATACTCTTTTTGTAAAGAACATAGATACAGTTTTTTTAACATTTAAATGTAAGCATGAATTGTGGAGCCATTTTGATACATGTAGCATGGTTTCAGAGAGTTTTTTGGCTACTTCTTCCTTGGTCTTACCATGTACATAAATTACAGTATCGTCTGCATACATTTGTATCTCACATCCTTTGCACACAGAGGGTAAGTCATTTATATACAAACAGAACAGAAGAGGGGCCAGTATTGATCCTTGCGGCAGGCCCACATTGTTTCTCATGTAAGATGACTGTTCATTATTGACTCTAACAGCTTGTGATCTGTTTTGTAGATATGATTTGATCCAATTTATAGCATCAGGAGAGAAATTAAAGAGTGTTAATTTTGTGAGGAGAACATCGTGGCTGATGGTGTCAAACGCCTTTTTCAAGTCCAGGAATACAGCTCCAACTACTCCCCCCTTGTCCATTTTAGTTTTTACAGTTTCAATAAAGTAACAGGTAGCAGTTTCCGTGGAATGATTGGCACGAAAGCCAAACTGCATAGGATGTAGCTTAAATGAAGAACTGTTCAGGTGTGACATTAGTTGATCTGCTACACACCTCTCCGCAATCTTTGACACTACAGGGAGGATGCTGATTGGCCTGTAGTTTGCCACCTCATTTGAATCTCCTGATTTGAAGACTGGCGTCACAATAGCTGGTTTCCATACTGCTGGATATAATGCTTGTTCGAAGGATGAATTTATCATGTTTGTAATAGGGTTCGATAGAGTCTCTTTGTGTTTTTTCAACAGTAGTGAGTCCTGTTTGAAAGCGTCTTTTGATTTGGAATTTTTAAGACAGTCTATGATTTTATTTACTTGGGATTGAGAAACCTTATTAATAAAAAATACTGGTAGAGTTGTATCTAATGGCTCGACGTTGACTGAGTCTGCAGGTGGACTATGAGTTAGTGACTTGACAGAGTCTATGAAGTACTCATTGAAAGCAGTAGCGGTATTGATGATGATGTACTTAGACCTATCAGGTGGAGTTTGAGTTATTTGCACAAAGTGTCAAATATAGTCTATATATAGTCTATTTTTCTATTAAAAAATACTATGAATAATATACCTCAATAATTGTGACTTAAATGTACCATCAGATGTAATTTCCTCTTGAAGAAATCACAGTTTACTGAATTTTCTCTACATTAATTTGATAAAATCCTATAGTTGCTCCCATTTATTCCATCTGCTAAAACAAAATGTCAAAGTTTTGGTTTGTACTACAAGAAAATGAAGCTCTAGTTACACCTTATCAATTGTCTTCTAAATTGGTTGTCACTACTTACTAGAGGTACAAATCAGATTAAAAGGCAGCAGCTCTAAAATAAAAAATTGGTAACCCACTCAGCAAACGTTCATAGAAAAGTCTTGACAATTTTATATTTTTCTGTATGCCTACTTTTTCTTTCTGATCCAATTAATGTTATTTCCCTGAAGTTTGCAGGATAAGTTCCTCCTGCTGATGATTCCTCTCAGTGCTGTCTGGCAGAAAAACGATGCTCATACTTTCCATCCCCAGGCTGTCTGGGCTGTATCCATGTGTATATGTGTCAGCGAAGGGGGATGGGCTTGATATTACTTGCATGTAGAAAAGCAGAGAAAAGTGTGACATGGAGAATAAAGGGTCTTGAAGAATCCTTTCTAACTCCCCTGCTCTGTTTTATTTTCCATTTGTTCACAATAAGCTTTGTGCCCCAATTTTTTCTCACACTTTGTTCTCAGCTTACTGTGCTTCCTCTACATATCAGTTTTTCAGTTCTGTTTGTGGAAAATCAGCCTTGATGAGTGAGGCACTACAACATTGTACAATTTAACTATTTACTATAAGTTTGCTGGTTTGGGATGTTGTCCCTTTTGACCAGGGATTTACTTTTCCTCATGTATGTTGGGATCCAGAGGCTTGCCCCCCAGAGGGCGCCGAGGATCCCTTCCTGTTTTTATGTTTTTTTTTTCTGTTGGGATCTGGGGTACTGTTGGGATCTGGAGATCTGCCACCTGTCTCCAGCAGAGAGCACTATGGGTCTCCTGAGCTGGAGCCTCCTGCACACCTGAGGATCATCAGCCCATCAGGAGACCTCCTACATAAGCAGCAGCTAGACCTGTCTTCAGCGCCGGAGTGTTCTGTCATGATGGGTCTCTGTGTTTAAACCCACATGCAGAACACCACAGGAAACAGAGTAAAAGTTTAACAGTTTATTAAGAGAAGCACACAGGAGTTATGAATGAACAGGTTCTGGTACTGATCCGGGACTGGAATCACAGAGTAATCTGCAGAGATGAATAGTTTGGTTAGCCAGGTAGCGGTGATGACTTGTCAGGGGTCTTGATTCTGGTTAGTACCTGATGAGGTTCAGACTGATCGATGGAGAGAGGGAACCGGTTGGGTCCAGAGACTGTGGATTCAGCAGAGCTCAGCAGCGGCAGCGTTTAGCTTCAGGCTAACGAGGTTCAGACCTTGAGTTGTTCTCCTAGTCCTCCTTTGAGAACTAGTTGGGGAAGTCAGACTGATAGTCTTCAGGTTTGGCTTTCTTGGGCAGGCAGGCAGGTTTCCAAGCACAAGCTC